TCATAAATACTCCTTAGGGTATGATCATAGTGAGCTAAAACATACCAGCACTGCCAGGCGAACTGCCCTGAAGGGGTCCATTGTGTGCCAGTGTGTGTTTGCCCCTGTGGTTATGTCTGTGGTATCACCAAAGCCAAAGTAATCTGGCACAAACATACGCACTTACACAGAGGGGGGAGACAGAGCGAGATAGAGAGAGAGCGCAAGAGAGAGAGATCACCAGCCTTGCCCGGCATTGTGTTGGCAGGCCTTTTGGCGTCACCTCCTCCCTCTCCTCCTCTTTAGACTCCTTCCTGCACCCCTGAAGTGCACGGTTAATCCCTAAGCTCTATCTCCATTTAAAGACAGGGACATCACGCAAACCTGCCTGTCTGCATCGCATTCTCACAGACAAACCCGTGCTCTCAGTCACACGCACATGCTGTTTGCCCCTGCAAACACAGAGAAAGAAGGAGAGCAGCTCAGCGGGGGGCTAAGCACTGCAGTGGCAGCAGCAGCAGCAGGACCAATATCTGTCTGTTTTTTCCCTGGCCTCAAAAAGTCTCCAGCGGCAGGCATGTGACAGGCTTGGAGGATGAGATAAGGAAAAGAAGGGACTTTTGCATTTGCTCACGCTCTGCTAATGGGTTATGCATCTGTAGCTGCGTGGTCACACTCTCACGCACACTATGGACTGTGGCATGTTTGTCAGATGAGGATGTGTGTGCATACAGGAGGAGTCTTATGGTGGTGCACTTGAAAGCAGGAGTTCTGCAGCAGGCTGAGGTGTGGGCCTGTAGGGCAGAGAGAAGTCACACTTACTTACCTATTTGTGAAGACTGAGGTATCATTTGTTGTTGTCCTTTTGAGGGAGATATTGTTCCTTTAGTGTCTAAAACGTCAGTCCAAACTTTTTCTGCAGGGCTTAAAAAGCTCATATTCTCAAAGATGTAACTCAAATATCTCCCTACTGAATGAGATCCACCTCTCTGCACAATGTAACTGCTCTCTAAAAATCCTAAATAAACACTTTGTCTCTGGCACTGTAAGGACTGTAAGCACTATAAGGCCATGGTCTTACTCTCCTTGACTGTTTGTAATCCTTGTGATTTAAGACCTGCAGATCTACTGTTGCACTCACTGCCGGTCCCTCAGGAAATGTGCGTCAGCTCAGTATCTATAAACTGACATCTACACACACGTAGATGTTGACCTCTAGTGGGCAAAATGTGAATCCTGCAAGTACTTGAACGCTACACTCTGCAGCAGGCCAGAGCTCTGGTAGAGCTGTTCATCAACCATCACTAAGACTTTGTTTTTATCTATGTCATTAACTGGTAAAAGTGCTTCATTGAGAGAAGTAAGAGAAGCAAAAAACAGTGGATGAGAAATTGTATTTAAAGAGGAAGGCAGGAATATTTCTGCACTCCCCTAAAATAAAGTTTTCATTTGCTTGAAATAAAAAAGACTGGGTCAGGTTCAATAAATGTGCTGATGTGACTGTGATGAGATGGGATGTGGTCGGGCAGTAAGCGTGAATCATGGAGAAGTAAGAACTCTACAGAAAAAAGAAGGAACAGCCCATTTGATGTTCCTATCTTTCTATGGAAGTGATATGGGCAGATTATAATAAGCAGTTTAATAACCTGAACTAATGTTTCATTTTATAGTTAGAATTCCAGCTGATATGAGTTTTTGTTGTTGTTGTTGTTGTTGTTCATACTGTATGTTTGTCTGTTTAGAAGAGTTAGGAGGCATTTGTATTTCCTCTTGATTTCTCCTCACCCTATACGCTGTTTTCACATTCTTCTTTTTGTTTATTACTTTTTTATTTCATCCTATTCACACTTTGACACAGTAAAATATGGAAACATGACTTATAGGACAGTTAACCCACAGTAATATAGAAAAACAGAATTTAAAGGGCCAGTTCACCCAAATTACATAAATTAGTCATATCTCGTGACTCATTTTGATTTTCTCTGCTCAGGTTTTAATATCTATAAAACATGCTATGAACATTTGAAGATTATGTATTATTTCTTTCTTCAATTTGCATTTCCATAACTTAAGGAACTGAATCAGGTATATCGAACTGAACTAACTACATATTTCAACTTTGTGGGACTAAAAGACATGTTGTAACCATTTTCTGAGGACTGGTTTCACTGTTAATGTTTAATAAATATCATGTTTCCTCTTAAATGTTACACACAATGTTTTCACTGAGGGCCACAAATAAAAGTCCATTCAACTCCAGATTAATAACTAGTCAAATAAACCATAAGGAAAGTGGTAACATATATATATTTATTTGCTGAACTGTCTGACCCTGTAGTGTAGCAGGTGCAGTGTCTCTGTCTTCCTGCGGAGGGCAGCAGTGAGCGGAGGAGTCTCATCGTTGTCTCACCACAGAAGAAGACGCCGTCGTATGTCCGGCTTTATGCTGACGCGTCCTCTCCTCCTCGTACACCGACGTGTCAGTCCTCTTGTGTCCAGAGCCGAGCAGCACACAGGCCGCTTCAATCCGCAGACATGGCTCCTAAAGGCAGCAGCAAGCAGCAGTCAGAGGAAGACCTGCTCCTCCAGGACTTCAGCAGAAACCTCTCGGCCAAGTCCACCGCTCTCTTTTACGGAAACGCGCTCATCGTTTCTGCCATCCCCATCTGTGAGTACCGAGCTGCTGCTAGCCGAGCTAACACTCACTCACTGCAGGAGACAGACAGACAGACGGACCCTGAGTTAACTTTAATACTGCAGACACTTTCAAAGACACAAGAGCGTGATAACAATAAATTCTATATATATATATAACGTTATATTATCAATAAGAGGGACTGTGATGTGCTAAAGTTGGATTACTGTCAGTGCTAGCTCTGCTGTAAAGTGACTGTGGGTTTAAATGATGGTAATAAACTATATAGTTCACTAGTAGTCTTATAAAATAAAAACAACTTTACTCTGTATAGATACAGAAAGTCGTTCCTCCCCACTGCAATAAGACTTTCTAATAATAAGTGACTCTTATCAGCTGCTATAACATTATAGTTAACCTTCAGGGATAAATAAAGTATTTCTCTCTCTCTCTATCTGTAGAGTAGTTACTGGTTACCTGGTTTACATGTATTTAACACACTGTCTGTCTGCTGATTGGATCATTTGGCCAATAGTGATTGACTTTATCTTTCTAGGGTTGTTTTGGAGGATCTGGCACATGGACCTTGTCCAGTCTGCAGTGTTGTACGCTGTGATGACTCTGGTCAGCACCTACCTGGTCGCCTTCGCCTACAAGAACGTCAAGTTTGTTCTCAAACACAAGTAAGAAGGATAAACACTCCTCATTATCCGTCTGAATGTTTAGAGTTTCTCTGTGTGTACTTCACTTGGATCGTAGGTGCACTTATATTACGGTCACACTGCTGATATTGATGATACTGATTCATTTGATCTGGTATGGTAAAGTACTGTATAAAACCAGTGGGGGTTTCTTTTTGCATCAATCACTAGTTACCCTTCAGCACTTGTTGTTAAAGGTGTTATTAATGACCACACTAACTTCAAGATTCCCGATTACATACCAGAGAGTTGTATAGTGTGAACACAGTATGGATGAATGACCTGTCTCTCTTCGTCCTCCAGAGTTGCCCAGAAACGTGAGGATGCTGTTTCCAAGGAGGTAACCAGGAAGCTGTCTGAGGCGGACAACCGCAAGATGTCCCGCAAGGAGAAAGACGAGAGGTGAAACATGAGCCGCAGTCACACGTAAAACCTATGAAGGCTGATGGTCTGGCCATTGCTTTGCGGTATACTACTACCTACTTAATTCAGGTGGTGTAGCCCGAGTTAGCTGTTCAGCTCCCACCTCTTCAAAATGTTTACACAGGAGGGAGACAGTGCCCACCCGACGACACAAGTGCAGTAAACAGCGAAAAACACACTGTCTGCTGTCCTTCTATTCAACTGGGACAGTGTGAAGCAGTTTCACATTTAAGCCAAAAAAAGTAAACATGGAATATAGTTGGGGACATCAACAGTGTGTCAGCTTAGAGTTGACATGATAGAACCACAACGGCCACTATAATCCTCATCTTGTGAAGAAGGGCCAGATTAAGATCATATAGCAGACTTGAAATGGGTCAAATTAAAGAGGCTCTCTACATTTTCACTTCCTGTTACAGAATAAAAGCCTGTTAATTCAGTGTAAGTGAAGAGATATCTGCAGTGCCTCTGAACTACTCTATTTCCACGACCATAAACTTGACTGACATCGTGTGTGTGTTTTTTTTTTTTAAATTTCTGCTCGTCTAGGATCCTGTGGAAGAAGAACGAGGTCGCCGACTACGAGGCCACCACCTTCTCCATCTTCTACAACAACACCCTCTTCCTGGTCCTCGTCATCATCGCCTCTTTCTTCTTGCTCAAGAACTTCAACCCCACCGTGTATCCTTTACATCATACTGTACATGTGTTATCAGCACTCACTCTTTATATGGCACCTGTCTTAAAATGAGTTGTAGGAGCACATTTCCTCACAAATACCTTCAAAATCTGAGTTTGTTTCTGCCTTAACAGCCTTTTTTCCAGCAACTACATTCTGTCCATCAGTGCCTCCTCAGGACTCATCGCTCTGCTGTCCACGGGCTCCAAGTAAAGGAGGAAGAAAAGAGCGGGGGACAAAAAGCTGAAGGGATGATGGGGTGGGATTGGGTAGGGAGTCGGGTATTCACTATATTGTTTTTCACTTAAGTTAGGAATGGGGTTTAAGAGGGGGGCTGAATTATCACATTTCAACTTCATGAAATTCATGATCAAATGTCTGGAGGGTGTTTCTCCAGGTCTGTCTTCTGTTTTTTGTAACAAATAAAACAACCAGTTATACTTGTCCTTTGTGTTGAGAGTGTGTATGTGTGTGTGCATGTGCCATTTAGTCTGCGTCAGAGCCCTTAAAGAATAAGATATGAATGAACCTGTTTGAGTTACATTACAAACCAGTAGATGTAAGTAAACTAGTAGACACAGACTGTTGTTTCCATTGGCATTGCATTTATTTATAATCACACTTTCATATAGACTATTTACAGAGAAACCACTGTTCAGGAGAGAAATAATACACTGATGGTTTGCATGTCACCTTAACAAAAAAAAAAAAAAAGCTGAACTCAATATCGAGTCTTTTCCATCCACAAATGTACATGTTGTAGAAAACAACACTGATCAGAACTGATGTAGGTTGGCTTCATACCAGAACAGGAAACATTACGTTAAACATGTCACGTTGCAGGATTTTTTTTCCAGTTATCTGAATCAGGGATAAAAATGTGTGTTTCTAGCTTTGTTCCATTTGGTCCTTCAGATGTATTTCCCAGCGTGTGAAGATAATGCCAGCAGCCACTAGTCTCTCAAAACAACAGCAGATTTTGGCCTCAATTATCACTGTATCAATGCATTACATGATATTTCACTATTGCACACAAACTCTCTACAGATAGCAGTAGAGGGTTTGTTTGAGAGCGAGTGGAGCTGGTGAGACACTGCCCCTTTGTGAAGACAAACTGATGCTTCATGAAGCAAACGGCTGGTTGAAAGACAAGATACTGTGTGCTGCTGCATCGGAAACACAGTATTAAAGAAATCACTTACCTTATCACAGAGTGACTTAAGATTAATGTTGAGAAAAACAGCCTAAATAAAGGCCAAGATGGAACAAAGCTGTTGCCATACACAAGCTGTTTGGACATGATTCCAGGAATGATATACTTCATTAGACTCAATTTCCCAAAAGTTACCTCTACACAATCTGTGTTGTGAGGGTCTTGCTGCTGCTTTTTTTTTTAAGTAATAGATATTATACTGTAGATTACACAATCCAATAATACGAGAATCTGCATACATATTGTTCTATTCTCACTTTGTTTGTAGGACAGCATCCAAACACCATTTAACAACTCGTAATGAAAGACATCCCTGAAGTTTTTTCCTGTAGCGGGATAAGTCACAAATCAAGGCACTCTGTCGGGAGGAGAAGTCTCCACACACACCGGCAGGCCGTGGTCCAACATGGTCACTGACTCAAACTAACTAACTTGTTGATTTGCACACAAACCAAAAGTACAGTAGATTTTAAGTAAAGGAAATTATACTAATTTAACTGATTACCAATTACTATTCTATTATTGAATAGATCACATATTACTCACATTACTCATTATTGATCACATTGTGATCAAATGTCTTTTTTATGAGAAAATTTGCTTTTATAGAGGTTTTCTTGTTAGTAAATGGGTGGTTGTTTACATTGAAATTATGACTAAGTGGAGGTCAGGTCACCTTCCATTGCATTTAACACAAAGTCAATGCAAAAAGTCACAAGGAAGTCTATTAATTTTCCACAGCCGGACATCTTAAAATACACCGTGAGCCAAACGCTGCTTATTGATGCTCCATCCCAATATGTGTAACAGCATTTCTGGCAAACGGCTACACAGACTGAAAACTTCCTTTGATTAAAATCTGGAGGGCGTTTGTGCTACAAGTCAACAAATGTACACTGAAGACAGGGCAGTGACTCAGCTGGGACCTGGCCAACATTTCTGCTGATCTCTGTGATGGCTTGTTTTCCAGATGAAAAAGAATAAGAAGAACAACGACGCATAAAGGGCGACAACCGTGAACTGTGAGAGCTGAGCCAACCGGTCAGACACAGCCACTCAAGGTCGGTGCTCAAGTCTGAACAGAAGCTCGTGACTTACAGAGGCCCATTCTTTTAATAATGCCATTACTGATACAGATTTTGAAATCTGACGTCACAATGCAAAAACAATAAACAAAATTGACCCGTACTCCTTTTAAATAGTTCTATTAAAATATTCTTCAGGAGACAGAAATGGATACTGTGACAGTGTAAAGTCAGACAGGAGGAGGATGAAGAGTGACTCAAAACACTGCAACTGACGCAGTGATACTGCAGAGGAGCAACAAAATAACTCTATTTACATCTTATTTATATATTAGCCATACAGTACAGTGAAGTCCTCATATGCAAGAGAGGCTGCTTTGTGGTTTTGCCTATGTTACAAGGTATGCCTTAACACTTTATGTACATAATCCGCAATTATTCTCCGAAACAAAATCTCAAAATGTCAAAATAAATTTCATATTTATTAACTACTCTAAAATAAATACAGTAATCTTTGCCACATCCCAAATACCTTGCCTCTTTGTGCCATTAACAAGCAATTTTTGCAGTTATTATAACCATGACAAGCCAGGAGGTCAGTCATCCTTTTACATACTTCCTTTTCTGCAAGGTTCATCGAGGCAATCAGCAATGCAGGTTCAGTTCACAGGCAAAAAAGGAGTCAAACGTCTCCATATTGAATGCAAACTGAGAGAGAAGTAGTCCACTTTCTTTTTTTTTGCAAAGCATTATTTTTCTCTCTTCTATAATCTAGTGAAGCAGAGCAGCAGTTCCGCAAAAATACCACACGGGGGCGACATGCTTCACTCTCTCCCTTAACAGTGTCCTAATCCCACTGACAACTGGTGTTCCTCTGCTTCACGGGCGGTCACGGACAGTAAACAAGCTCACAGCATTTCTGCTCAAACTCCTTTCTGTTGTTCAGTTATGTGCTTTGTAGGAAAGAAAAAAGAGGCACACTATAGCGAGGGGAAACATGCATCGGTCGGTTAATACACTCAGGGTCTGCAGCCTGTAATATCTACTGAATACTATTCTGTACTATAGTAAATATGGGACTGAGTACATTTGGTAGGTAGTTGAAAGCTAATTCAAGCTAATAGGGAACTGGCTTGTTGAGGCCTCATTCATAAAGCTCTTTTTCATTGCTAAACCTCACATTTCATGGGAAAATAACCAAGACATTTTATCCCACGACTCGAGCGTTCACCTCTGGCACAAGAGGTGAGAGTATTGAGCTCGTATGGTAATTTTGTTTGCTGCACTGCATAGCAATTTAATGAAAGCACAAACTGACTGGGGACGTTCATGCAACTGAAGCTTCTTCATGTCCCCTTTCCTAACGTCCCTCTAATTTATAAGTCTAAGGTGCTTGCTCTCATGTATTCAGCTGTAATTCTCATGAACAAAATATGTGCTCAATCTGAATTTTGTGCTCAAATTAAATTACTTGTGGGTGGAAGTCTGGACATTAGAGACGAAGGCTTGAGAGTCGAGGGTCTAAGTCACCGGCCGAGCTGGGAGGATGTTGAGTAGGTCAGGTGAATAAGTAACAAACTACTACTATCAAGCTACCCTTGAGCAAGGCCCTTTTACTTCAGTTACTCCTGCAGTGCTTTTCATCGTGCACTGCTCAAATCCCGACTGTAAATGTGTAACATTGTGTGAGTGTGTATCACTAACTACTACGAGCTGTTCTAGCATATCTTGCCATCTAATAGAAGTTGAATTTAATAAATAATGAATTTCTTAATGAGAGAGCCCTGGATGGACTTGAACCAGATATGAACTGTAACATGGGCAAGACTAAGCTCTGCATAGTTATATCTGAATGGGCCGGTGCTCAACAGGTTAACACCTTGTTTAGGGGGCACAAAGTTTTAATTTACTCAGATGGACTAACTTGCGTTTGAGGCTGCAAAAAGCTGAGTTTGGTAAGCGCCGCTTAGCTGAGCCGGACTGAACCTGAGATGAACCTGGTAGAGCTGATCTAAGAGGGACTCGTCTCCAACAGATAAGGTTACAGTATGCAGTGCTGGGCTTAGCGAGGCTGTCTGTTCCAGGCTGAAGTGGGCTGGAGTTGAGTGGGGCCCAAGGAGAGAACCATGGACTTCAACATTGAACGGTGGATCCATGGTAGCAGTATGGTTAAGTTGTTAGGCAAGCAGGTAGGGCTGACCTCTCGGTAGTCCAACCAGCCTGTTCTAAGAGCGGTAGTCCTTCTTGCTGTACGGTCTGTTGCCCAGGATGTGATCGATTTCAGACACTACATGAGACGTCATCTTAGGAAGGACCTGGGCGAAAGAGAAAGAGCAAAACTGAACATGCCCGGCAGGAAGGAAGTGAGACATAAGTTAAAAAAATGTCCCCCTCCACTCAAAAGTCCCCCTCCACTCAAAAATCAAAAAAGTGGAAAGTTTCTCTGTGCTCACTGAAAATCACTAATCATCTGGTCCAATATGCAACTTTTACAAGTGTGATGTTGAAACTTGAAGCCACCAGTGCACACACACTGAAAATGGACTTCACAGTAAAGTAGGAGACATCTTGTGTCCAACAGGAAAACTTTAGAAATGAACACATTTTTAATGTGGAAGAAAACTATCAGACAGAGTGTTGTTCCAAGTAGACTATTTGTGTATATGTCTTAATACATGTCTGGAGGGGATCTTTAAAGTGATTCAGAAATAGCTTTTTCATCTAAAAAATCAATATGGCCGGAGGACAGCGCTGGATGCAGCTGAGGAAACTGAGCAAGCAGTAGACCTGTGTGTTTGTGCGTGTGTGTGTCTGTGGGTGTTTCTGCATGTTCCCACCTGTATGGCTCCGAGGTTTTCAGTGAGCTGTTCAGGGTTGGATGTTCCCAGAAGAACTGAGCTCACTCCTTCATTTCTTAGACACCACGCTGGAGAGAGAAAAACATGGTAATGTTCACACAGCGCCCACTTGATGGCGCACTGCTGCTTAGTATTGTCTTATAACAGACCACAATTAAAACCAAGCTGTTAGACTTGTCCTCTACTCTCTTTCTGGATCCATATAACAATTTATCACAAAGTAGAAGTCAGAACACAAGCACAAATGTTTTATTATTTTGTATCCATTTTCTACAAATCATAGACCTTACATTACTGCCAGCCATTTCTCCAAGATTTTTTAAATCTTTGAATGCATTTACTTCTACCTTCCAGGCTGCTCGGTTGTTGTATCGGTGCACAATAATGCAGTAGCAAGCACAAATAGATTTGAAAAGTGAGTGTGTGTGTGTCGGTGGGAAGCTGGAGGAGAAAATCAAACCCACGAGACAAAGAAAACACAGACAGAGTGAAGGATGATTTGAATTTGGTCCCATTTTGCATTAAAAATGTTTCTGTCTGACTGCCCTGAGCATTCATGTTTTCAAAGCCTTGCTTAAGGCTGCTTCCACAATATTTGTTATAAGAAGGTGAATGCGGGCAGAGGAGTCTTACCCACAGCCAACTGTGGCAGAGTGCAGCCCAGCTTCTCTGCAATGTGGTTGAGCTCTTTCAGCTTGGCTTGTTGTTTCCTTCCATCCTCACTTACTATTTTCTCCTTTAACCACTGATACGACTGGTGGGAGAGAGGAGGAGATAGAGATTGAAAAAAACGTCAAAAAGTAGTGAGAGTTCAAATAGGGGTAAGTATGTATGGAAGTATATAATAACAGAGAATAAAGGGAACAGGTGAGGAAGTGACATAATAGATGAGGGAAAAGTCAATGAGAGTCGAAAGGTTGAGGCTGTAAGTACTGCTGAACTGTGAGTACGTTGCATTATGTAAAATGATCGACCACACAAAGAGAGAAGCTACAGACATGGCTTCAGTGAATCATTTATTTCAACTTGTATCGATCTATTTCTACTGGTTGTTCTGGGTTTAGGATGGATTACTTTTCGACCCCCAGAATGCAACCTGCTTCAACATTACAGGAATAGTTAGACATTTTTGAGTTTCCTATAAAACTTAAACATGTCCATGTTACACTTCTGCTTTGTTAATTAGTGAGGTGCTGGTAGGCATATTTTTTAACTTTCGGACAGAGCCAGGCTAGCTGTTTCCCCATGCTTTCAGTCTTTATGCTAAGCTAAGCTAACTGTCTTCTGGCTCTAGCTTCATAGTTAGAACACAAACTTAAAAGTCTGTATATGAAAGAAGAGAAACGGAAGGAGTGCAGTTTATCCTTTATTGCTCGCTGTAGGGAAATTCATTCTCGGTATTTGACCCATCCCAAGCACTAGGAGCACTGGGCAGCCATTGTGCATCGCCCGGGGAACAACTCCAGATCTGAGCCAGAGCCTTGGTCAAGGGCACTGACTGGAAAATTAACATACATGTTTTGATGGTGGGGGAAACCCACACAAACACGGGCAGAACATGCAAACTCCACACAGAAAGGCCCTAGGACCTTCTTGCTGTGAGGAGACAGAGTTAACCACTGAGCCACCATGCTGCTACAGGCTAAAGTTAGCTGGTTGACCTTTCTGTTTGTAACGACTCTGTGCAATAAAGTAAAGAAGTGATGTGAAATGACAAAATAATAGAAACAAGATTCAAGAACTTAACTTTACTACATGTCTGACATCTGCCTAATGCTGTATTGTGTGTTGGCAACCACCAAAAAGGGATTCTGGTCCATATGTTTGTCACAGTTGAGTTATGTTGGCACAGAGTAGATATCTGCTGGACATTTTCCATCTCATTTCACAGTTCATGCTTTGGGATTTGGCTTGTAGTTTTATCTAGAATCACAGACCAGGCTGTGTTTTATACCTCCACTTTCCTCGTAAGCGGTTAAACAGTGGTTTCCCACCTTTTTGCCTTGTGACCGTTAAAATGGAGCAGTGTCTAGTTGCAACAACTTGTCACAGGTTATTACCTCAGTGTGAGGCAATGAGTTATGAGATGTTTTCCTTTCAGACTGAAGAGGTTAAAGTGTCAAGTATTTGATAAGGGGGAAAAAAAGAAAATGTAGAAGAAATGAATGATTAATCATCATTTCTGTCTCTAATCAAATCCCCAAAGCATATCTTATCTTAAAACAAGTGAAAACATCTGCAAGTACAGTGAAAATGGTTCCAAGAATTTAAAAATAAGTGTATTTTGGACCAAGAAAGAAGATGCAGGTTGGTGCTCGAGAAGGTTGGCTGGCTGATTTTCTGCCTGTTTAAGTGTAAGGACTCAAGTTACAAGCAAAACACGGTCAACAACATGCACACTCTTCAGGTGAACTGGATTTAACAATTAACAACTGTTCGGGTTCAGAGCCTTCACTGTGATACACATGGTTGTTTTATTTGGGGAGAGCGGATCATTCTCATTGCCTCAATCAATTATTTTGCCTACCTTCATGGAGGCCCTGGAAGATTCAGGAATGCCATTTTCATATTTCCCTGTGATGATGCCGCACGCCAGCGGCGACCACGTCATCGCCCCCACTCCTGTCACCATGGAGACCAATCGGGAGTTAAACAGAGAGTTTTAGTAAGATGCGTTGAAGGGAGAAGTGTGAAAAAATGTGCGAGAACAGTGCCAGGAAAGTGAAAATGCATGAGACGATGAAAAAAGATGAGCAACAGAGAATGATGGGGATTATTTATCTGTTGAATTTATTGTCTTTGGACGAGACATTTCATCATCAGGCACTGACTAATTCACCACAATACTACACAACACACACAATGAACACTTGCCTATCTTGTGGTAAAGTTCAGGCAGTTGAACTTCTACTTTCTCCCTCTGGAAGAGATGATACTCTGCCTGCTCACACACTGGAGGGATCAGATTAAACTGTCTTGCCACTGAATACGCCTCCTAGAGTTGGAAATATAAAAAGGAAGGCAGAGAAAAAGGGCGAGAATCAATGGATGGTTGTTACGATGTCGGATGTTGTTTTCTTTATGTTGAGAATAAAAGATAGAAAGAGAGGGGAAGAAAGAATAAAAGGGCTGATGGTAGGCAAGAGCAGAGGTTAGGAGCGATAGATAGTGACGGGAGAAACTTTAGGGAAGAGATGGGAGAGGGAGGGAGGGAGTTAATCAGCTTGTGGGAGCGTGGCAGAGATTTAAATGCAGGGCTCAAGGTAAGTCCCCCAATCAATATTCCATATCACAACTCTCCCAGGCATCATATTCAAATGTCCTTATCTGGATTTCCACGTGTCTTTCAAGAACACATGCCAGAGGAAACACACGCGCGCACACACACACACACACACACACACACACAGACCTACACATACACACATAAAGATGTTGGCCTTGATTCTTTTAACATTCCCCACTCTTTTATTTCGCTCCCGCTGTGGAACACATGTCAGGACAAGAGAGCAGTAGGAGGGGGGAATCTATTTAGCGTAACGCAAGGATAATGTTGGTGCCATCACTCAACTTACAAATTACAAGTTGCCCTTTTGTGCTGCAACCCATGACATGTGCCTCGAGCCCGTGTGTGTGCACAGCCATGCGTGGCAGCTGTGTGTGTCTATATACTGCACTGCTGCCTTGTCACGTAGACTGAGAAGCAGTGTTTACCCCCCCCCTCATTATTGATGCTATCTAAATTACGCAGCTTTCATCTGGGCTTGTGTTCTACAAAGATATCTGCTCCTTTTTACTGTGATCACAGAGAGAGGATGTCAACACATCAAGCTGTGCTTCGAAAGGGGGAGGGAGGGTGATAAAGACACCAGAGAGAGAGAGAGAGAGAGAGAGATGAGAGAGTGCTAGGTCCTTGAATGTCACTTTAGGCATGCGTTTATTTCACAACGCTCTGCTGTGGCTTCATACACCCTGTATTATATTCATTACTGTAGCGAGAGCTGAAATGGGAGGTAGACTGTTTCTGACAGGAAGAGGAAACAAAGCCTGAGGAAGCCGCTGTGCCTCTGTGGGAACACTTCCTAGAAACAGCTACTTTTCCTGCAGTTTGCTTTTCCATTTTTCCCCCATTTCCTCTTTCAATATCATGACTTCACATGAGCAATGTGTCCAAAATTGTACAAGATAATAAGCTGCTAGAAATGGGTCTCGAAGGTGTTAAGGTATAAAAATAAAACCTGCTTTTCATAATTAGTGTATCTATATCTTGACAGTTTACTCTATGGATCATTGGATCAACAGTCCTCTTGGGATAAATAAATGGTTTTAAAGTTTTTGTCATGCAAAATGTCTAACTACTGCTTTTTAAGTCAGTGAGATATGAAATCTAATCTGCCAAAATGGCTTGAAACTTTATAAAAGAAACAAAAGATTCTGAGGCAATCAAAGGTGTTAATTTAACTTAGGTGTTGTATAAAAACAAATTAGCTTTCTACCAGTAGAAAGATTATGTGTCAAAGTTGTAACTAAATGATCCACTTGAATATTTTCATCCTTCTTTTATTTCAGTATCTTTCCTCCAAAAGACGGATGTCATGAGCATAAATGACATCTGTAAGCTCACCATGATCTCCATGGCCGTCCACCGAGACGTCCCCCAGTACATCGCCATGCCTTGGTTGATCACATAGGTCATGGCCCGAACAATCTCTGCAGAGATAAACATGTCATATCAGTCAGTTGCATCAATGGTGAACAACTCATTGAATCCACCCTGTTCAGTGCTGGTAAGTCTCCTCTCACCAGAACGCTTTTCACATTCAGTTCTGCCCCCTAAAGCAACAAAACACATTCGTTCCTGCTGGATAAACCTTGAACACATTCAGAATTCATTCAACAAAACGGCTGAATCCTTCAGGCTATGTTTCTGAGACTCTGGGGAGACACAGCAAAACCTTATAAGACAGAAATATTTCTCTGAATGTTTCCCTCTTTTCTTGAAACAGTTGTTACCAGCATTGAAGTGTAAACTTTGTAAACCCACTAGAGGTAAAGCTTAAAATCGAAAATTGATGTCCACAATGTGTGCAGTCCAAAATGACAATAAATGTATCCTCTGTGCAAACATCTGAAAAATACCACTAGGGAACATCAGTCACACTCATGAGATACGGTATTCAGACCACATAGACATCATTTGAAACTAACCACAAGAAAATAATTCAATATAAGAAATCAAATAACAGGGTCCTTTAGACCATGCTTTCTTATGCGTTTATCATGTCCATGTGGTGAATCCTAACACACTCGAGCATGTAATCCACATACAGGAAGGAAAAACAGAGCTGGCACTGGAAGAGAACGTGTTTTTTGTTTGTTTCCTTATTCACAAGAAAGATTAAGATAAAGAACGTCAGGCACAAGCTTGAAGTGACTTGTCTGAAGGTAGGCAACATATTCTGAATCGGCAACATCCAAGCCTCATGAAAAGACAATGGCGAAGAGAGAGAGAGAGAGATGAAACCCTGAAAACAAACAGTCAAATGGAAAGGAAAAATGAAAGAGAAATAATAAGAAAGCAGGTGTTTAGGAATGGGTTTGCCAACACATGAAAATTAAAATCTAAGATAAACTGTGGCCTTGAGAGCACACACATTTCTTCATTTATTTCAGTTTTGTGAAGTTACCAAAAAACTCTGCAGTGGCCACTCACCTCCTCGAGTCTCTCTTACCTGCTGACGGCTCATCACCAATCCCTAACAACTCTAGGGACAAACTAACAAGCTCACACACTAAAGCCCCTCTGATCACATTCAAGCTGCTGCATTTTTAATGATGCAATTAGCTCCAACACTGCTGACTGCGCCAGCCAACGGCAGTCAGGGCCAACAAAAACTCAGATTAGGACTGTCATTAAGGTTATTCATCATCGCCCTGTGCTTGCTCCAATTATACTGAAATCGTTCACTTTGGCAGGACCCTTGTATCTCACTCTGCATAACTGGTTCTTGGCACAGAATGTGGTCGAAGAAAACACTGACAGAAAAGAAAAACTGAATCACGAATAAGAAGCAGCACTGGGAAGAGAAGTTAAACAATATCTGCAGTAGAAGGTATAATCAAGAAGACCAAAAAAAGTTGATAATTAACAACCTGAAACACAGATGCCTTATTAAATAGCATCCTGTCAGGGGGAATAACACAGTATTAAGAAAAGTAAACAATTCTGTCTCTTTCCTATCTCTTGTTACTCCCTCTCCCTGCCCTCCTGCCATCCAGCTCTCTCAGTCTCCAGCAGCATGCTGTGATTGTGCACACTGCGCTCACATTTAAATGCTACTTGCCTCAAATTTCCGGCCAATATAACAAGAGGGAGAAGAGGAGGGAGTGCAAAACGAGTTTGGGGAAGGAAGAGGAATAGATCTTACAGCTGAAGGAATTGAATAGGAAATAAACACAGAGTGCAGATGGTGGGAAAAAGTACGCAGTGTTTGCAGGACAGAGGAAATCTATAAAGAGGCAAGAGCTAGAAAAGTGTGAAATCAAGGTCAGTGAGTGTGTGAAATATCACATCCTACACCAGAGCTTCAACAATGTCACTAAATAATACCGAGCTCATCATTTTCACACTAGCAATCTGCCATGAAAACTGTCATATCAAAGTTAAAACATTCTCATCATTACTTAGTTTGTCATTTATATGCATTATCAGTAGCGTATCCATAATATGGGAAATCTATTATTCTGAGCTAAAAAGACTTTATTTTGAGTAACTTGGCTTTTACAGATGCCTCTAGTTTTGCAATGAATTGAGGTTATCTAGAAAGTCCTGTTAAGCTTAATTACGTATATTTTAAAAGTCACACTGGAGGAGAATAGTAATTCTGAGCAAATCAAGAGCAAAAAGCAAACAATTAACTAAAATGAAATGTTCTTACTGATTAATTGTAAGCACTAATTAATGAGGCGTTGGGAGAACCCCCACAGTTAATGGGCTTTACCTGGAGAATGCAACAGTACGCAATTAATTTATGATGACTAATAAGGAATCAATACACTACTAATATGCATGTCAATAAGCAACTTCTTGATAATTAATTATATAGGGGGGCCTGCCTCACTTCAGCTATACTAAAGAACTGGACTGGACATTAGTTCAGTACAACAGGAGCAGAAAACGGCTCTAATGTCACCAGTTACACTGAAATATCTCTGTAAAAGACTCCATACAGACATTGATGATGAACAAGTACACAGTTGCCCTCTAGCTAGTGAATATATAAGGGTTTAAAAAGGCTGTTGTATTACATGTTCTTGTTTTATTATTGATGATACTGGCAACACATGCATGCACTAGAAAGCTACGGCATCTAAACTGTTTGGATGTCAGAGGATTAATGAAAGTGGAGCTCATGTAAGCTGAGCACACTTTGGAGGCATCAAACCTAAAGTTACATATTACTCAAATACTTCAATTAAAAAGTGTAAACTTATTCAGCAGCAAAACAGCAAAGTCAGTATCCCTAAACATGAGCACCAAGACAAAAAACGAGAGACAGAGGATGTAACTTGATTGAGAGGGGCTAACTCACCCTCCATGGGAGTATTGCTGTCAGGGCGGTTGGCAAACACTACATCGACATACTCCAACTGCATCCGTTGTAGGGAGCCTTTTAGACCTGAGAAACAAAGGAGATGTGAGGGTTGAGATAGAGGAGGGGGACTGAACTGACACAATGAAGCACTGTGTAAAGGGAAAGAACATTCATTTAAATTGAAGGTCCAGTGTGTAACATCTAGGAAGATCTATTGGCAGATTGTCTACAGAGTCTACAGGGGGAGCAGGTCCTCTTCCATGGAGTCCACCATGTTGAACCAACAACATCCCAGAACTGACAAACCGAACACAGGTTCTACACAGGGCCTTTCACATTTTTCATGAGGTTCACCGGCCATCCTAGTTTCTCGTGTTGGAAGGTGAGCTTTATTCACATGGTTGCAATCTGCAACTTCACCACTAGACGCCACTAAATCTTACACACTGGTCCTTTAAGGTTTGTTATAAGCAAACAACTACAAGTCTAAAGTTTGTTTTGTTTACCTGGTGTATGTGTCAGTGTGCTTGTATGTCTTACCTTCAATAATGTGTTTCCTTGACAGTCCTCTCTCTGTCTCTGCTCTGATGGGACAAACACAAACCAATGATGAGCTACACTGTCAATATGTCTGTGCCTTTGTTATTTTCAGACTTTATTTGTTTACTTAAAAAATGCTACCCAGGATAAATGTGTACATTTTATCCCTCAGACAAGGCTGTAATGAGAGGTAGTTCTTATTTTTGTGCTCTTGCAGGAAGAGAGGAGGCGGACATTACATCGATGATACTCCATTTAAGATGGATGGACACCGTTTCTTTTTATGTGAAGATGAAACCATATTATTATCACTTTCTTGTTAATGCTGTTTGCATTCCCCCAGACACTAATTCAAAACATGCACTGCAGAATTATTTCCTGGGTTAGTAAGCGTATGTATATATGTATATAAATATCTATAAATATATACGATTTATTTTTTTTTTCAACATTTTTTGTGTGTAGCATGAAGGAACTGCAAACTTTAATTCCATTATACAACCTGAAGTTGTATAATGACAAATACATTTCCTTGATTCCTTTATTGAGTTTTGTGTGTGATGTATTAAACATGTAAATGAAAGAGTATACAGTATGATATATAATATATCATGTTGTATGTATGTTGCTGTGTTTCACAGAGCCATTAATCAGAGACATGTGCTCCAATATTATCTGAACTTTTAATCAGTTTTCAAATATCAGCTCTCCAAGCAGACTAAAAGTAATTTTAAATCACTCTTTAACCCCGACCAGAGGCCTTGACACTAGAATGAGCATATCAGGCTGTTTTATTAAAATGGGTCAGTGCGCTTTCAGCTGTTCAGAATCATTATGCATCCAAACTCTGGAGGAGAGAAATGGACGACTGAATCTTCTTCCTAGGAATGAATGAACGCTCAGGAACAGAGAGAATAACTTCATCCTTATCACCAGAGCCAGTTGGACAGTCTCCACCGAGTGTGACAGCCTGTGTGTGTGTGTGTGTGTGTGTGCTATAAAACTGATTTCTTTATCCCACCCCCACTATCCCCAGTCTCAGCAGAGGAATTGGTTGTTACTGTATGTGACATGATGTTACTCAGTCTAAAAATGGTCACTAAAACAAAACAAAAAAAGAACTTTAGTGCTTGGAGGCTAAACTATTATTGTCTTTGAAATAGAGCTACAGATAGTGGATGTTATTTGTAACAAGAGATCTAAGGACATAAACTATTTGTATAATTATATTTTTGGGATATTCATAATTGATTATCTTTTTTTTTTCATTTGTCTGTAGTTTATTTTGGTTGACTGAAAAGACTAGGCCAATATTTTTTAATTTTTTTTTTTACTTTTAAAAATTTTTTTTAGTTAGCGACACTCTTTTTTGAATTTTAATTACTGATATTTTCAAATATTTTAATAACTGAATGTTTGAATGTCTGTGTGCTTTGTGTGACTGAATTGCCTTTATGTGATGTGTAATTGGTTCTTAGGTCTCTCTTGTAACACAGATCTTGAGGTCAATAAGACTCCCTAAATAAAGGGAGCCTAACTAACTAACTAATTATTCACAATCTGCCTTCAGGCACGAGAATCACAGTTTAGAGAGTTTCTCACTTACTTTCCTCCCCAGTAGAGTTTGGTTGTAATGACCAAGCTGGATCTCCTAACAAAGTACAAACAGTACAAAGATACAGACAGACAAGAGTAAGTGATACATAATGCATGGTACTTGCTCAGTATATTCTCTTATTCACACATACAAGGGCTACTGGTGGTGTTTATCCCGGATCCTGCTCTCTCTGCTTGGGTGTTGAGTTAAAGCCATTGTTCTTACTGTCACTGAGGTACATTCATTTCCAGTCTAAAGCAGTTTAATGTGAGTGAACATCCCTCTTGCCTCAAACTGTTGGACTAATCAGTGACACATACAACAGGTGTGAATATGCCGCCCACATATTGCTCAAGAGACATTGGTGACACCCAGTCATTACACATACAGTATGGTGCTCAGTAAAATCATTAAACTCAACCTCTCCTCGTAGCATCCCAAAGGTAATCTAGCAGACATAATTTATGTTGTCATCTCATTAAAGGACAAACTCACACATCATTTACTATCAATTGATGGTTACAGAGCTAACTGAATGTGGAAGTTTGCAACACTGTCGAGCATCTGCAGGCTTTGAGTGACAAATCAATACATACTGTACATGTGACAACTGAAACTGTTATTTGGAATAAAAATATTAAAATACAAACAGCACTGAGACAAATTTATTTCCCATAAAATCTGAACTTTCATTATCTCACAGTACGGCCTGTTCTTTTCTGCGCTTTTAAATCTCCCCTCTGTAAACTGATGATGACACTCAGAGACTGAAATGTCAGGTTCAGTGTGTCTTTACCGCACCAGCATCAAATCGCCTACTGGTGTAATGTAGTCAGCTCAGTACATGACACTAAAGGCGGGGACACACATTATGACTGTTGATTGACCAAGTTGGACCGAGTCTGTTCCAGTCTTCATGTGACAGTCGGCAGATAAAATCATATAGTGTGTGATATGTAACGATTCTGTAAATCTTCAGATCCAACAGCTACCAGTTGCTCTCATGGAGATTTTTTAAAATATGCTTGATATTTGCGGATCTCAAGCAAACTGCAACTTTTTTGCAAGTGTCACAGCATATAAACTGTGCAAGCTAATGGTTGCCATCCATGTTGGTTTTGGTACAAGAACAAGAAACGGTTTGTGTTCTTGAACGATCTGCAGGGTCGTCTACCACCAGAACTGTCCAGACAGTCAAAGACTAAAAATCTGTTGGTGGAAACAATCTTTATGAGTATTTTATAGGTTTTCGTTTTCAGGTTTATCTAAACTTAAGCTGCATAATGAACAACCTGCGAGCATAATGAGACGAGAGTAACAGCTAGATGTTCCCACATTAGAGCTGCTTCATGCTGATGTATTATAGAGAGGCTGGTGTTATTATAAGAGAAAGAGACTCCATCAGTTACTTCTTTTGATGGTACTGTAACTTTCTCCTCCCTGTTTTCAACATTTGATCAATAATACAAAACCGTTAAATAATAATATTTGAAATTTGTGGAAACACAAAAACTATTTCATGCTGCTGTTCAGTGGTGCAGTGTGTCTGTGCCTGTGTGTGTGTGCAGAAACACAAACATGACTGCAAATTAGTAATGCAGTCTGATTTTGAAGAAAAGCAGAGATTGTAGTCCTTATCACAGAATCACACATGGCTGTCTCTTACACACACGTACAACACTAACACATACATTTGGAAACACCAAACTCCCTTCCGTTCCCCTTTTCCTTTCTTTAATGCAAGCCGCACACACGCTTCTCTTGCTGCCTCTTGCGACATGCACACACATCTCTCCAGCTTTCTCTCTCACATAAAAGTGATGAAGCCATCAGACACATTTATGTCACCATTACCTCCAGCATTTCTTCTTGATAATGTTTCCTAGAATGATTTCGGCCCTGCAAGGAAATATAAATGAAGTGGCGTTATTAAATATCATTTTGACATAATAAACACTTCTACAATATCAACCACGCACTTCATTGTCACTAAACGAAACAATCCTGATGTGCATTAAAATGAGGGCGACCCAGTTTGTTCATGAATGTGCAGTCAGATTGTGCATTCAAAAAGGCTTAATGAACTTGAATGAACTGCCATCCTATAGTATAAGAAGGTTACGTTTGTGTTTTATTATCGGGGGTTTTATGTATTTTTGGTAGATTACAATAAAGTAAAAGGAAATCACTCCTTAGTGGACCTTATGAATTGTTTTAACAGTAGAAAGGTCAAACTCTACTGACACTTGACAATGTTTTGGCTGTGGAAATGTGTTCTGCAGTATTTTCCCCATGTTTGCATCAGACTGTTTAATTGGTGTCTGAGTTTTCTGATTCACAGCGATGGCTCCAAGCCTTTTTAGAGCTGTAATGCACTTTGGTCTGACACAAAAATACAAAACATTTGATTTTCTATCTGTTCTATAATCTACATTCATATAATCCTAAATGTTAACCTATAATTCTAAGTTTAGTATTCATATGTTACACTAATCTTCTTATTTAAACAATATCCACACAGTCCACAATAACAAGACTTCAAGCTTCAAATTAACAGCAGTGATTTCCAGTGTCTGTCCCATCAAATACAGGGCATGTAACGCCCTTCTTTTTTAAAAAACTGCTGTGAAAGTGATATGCAAGTCTAATGGAAACTTTTTCTGAGATCATGAATAATCACAAACTGCATGACACTCCAGACCTGCTGGTTGTTTATCACTTTACTAAATGAGTGGAACAAATTGAACTCTGCATGTATGAAACCTTAGTAAGTAAAAAACACTTTCTGGAGCCACAGCGGGGCCAGACGTCTGCACCTGATCACACTAAAACATGATGAGGTTGTTATGAGCTCAACTGAACTGCAAACAAACTGCGAGGTTCGAATGACACCCACCTGCCGCCCGCGTAGACCTCAGCTGTGTCGAACAGGTTGACTCCACTCTCATAGGCTATAGTCATTAGCTGCTCTGCAACCTGGCAAGAAGTCAGGACAAACACAAACACATGATACAGAAAGGTCAGTGTGCAGAACTGTTCTCTCTTTTTAGGCACAGTCATAAAAGAGCTGTAACATTGTGGCCTATCAATATAAATAATGAGGTGTTTCCTCAGCTACAATGTTCAAGGTCTACCAAAACCATTCCATCAAAGTAGAAAAAGGTGGCACATCTCAAAGCAGTTCAGCTTCATATTTTATTAAAATATTATTGCCTATGCATTTTAGCCTGAGGCCTTCCTCAGAGCATGAGTATATATTTAACAGTAAGTCACTTAAAGGTCCAGTGTGTAATATTTAAAAGGATCTATCGGCAGAAATTGAATATAATATTCATAGGTATGTTTTCATTAGTGTTTATCACCTGAAAATAAGAATATTTCTGTTTTCATTGAGCCGTTTTTATCTATAGACGCCACGGGTAGCCTTCTGTGGAGTCCGCCATGTTGAACCACCACGTTTCTACAGTAGCCCAGAATGGACAAACCAAACACTGGCCGCAGACCACGTAGTTTCTTCGCCATGCTTGGAAAAGGAGGGTGAAGCGAGTGAGTTTTGATCTGCAACTACACCGCTAGATGCCACTAAATCCTACACACTGGTCCTTTAAGATAATGACTTAATTCAATGCCATGGACACAACAGAACACACCAAAAGGTGCGTACTCTCCAACAGCCACAAGAAGCAAGTAAAGGAACAGAAGACAGAGACCCAGGTCAAGCAACTCTAATAATGCACATCTTATACAAAGAACAGGAATAAAACCACAATATCACTTATTGAGAAAGTTGTCAAACAAAATGACAAGAATGCTTCAAAAGTAAAGCTGGGATTAAGAGCGGTCATATTTTTGATGCTGAGCTCTCAGTTAGTTTCTCAAATAATGTATTTATAAAATAACTCTTACTATACTTTTCATATATTTCAGTCAGACAACTCATGTGGGATGGATTATTACGTGAATGCAGAATAAGTACAGAGTTGATATTTGGCATTTGGGCGTTGACCTCATCACTCCTCGTATGGATACGGCAAAGTCAGCACAACAAGGATTGGAGAGTGAGTAATAACTTCTCCCCTGGAGGAACTCAAGTTTCCAGTGTACTCTGTCAGAACTGCTTGTCGGACAGTCATGGATTAGGAGGCGTTGTATAACTTTCTAAAACCGTCAACATAACATTTACGCCTACCTCTTGCTGTGATTGGTCAGCTGTGCGGAGGTGAGGAAGTAAGCCCAGGTCTGAACTTCTTACTCTATTTCTGTCACTTTTCATGTGAACAACGGAACCAGTTCTGATCGACTATAACGCCACCCTTAGAGTCCTCAGGTGGGGTGAAGATAGAGCAGCGCCAAAGAGCGAGCTGAGCACAGAGGCTTAAAACCACTGCTCTACTGCAAAGGATGTGTAAGATACTGTATATGCTGCAGCCAGCACAGTACTGTATGTCCTGCGTGAGTATGCTGCAGCAGCACACTCACGTTGTCTGCCTGCTATACCAGCTCAGACAGAGCCTGTGTGGTTGTACTGTTAAGTCTGTTGATGTACACACTTTATGGAGCAAGTGGGATCACAGTGTAATTATCTGTGAAAAATAATTTGACTCCATAATATAGTAGTGTCAACTCATTCCGCTTTGCTCATGCTTTATGTGTGTGTGGCATATGTGCAGATATTCTTTCATATTTTTGCAGACATGTTGACCATAAATCATCAGACCGAGATCCAATTTCCCCGTGGTGAGTTTTATTACATGGGGACTTTAAGTGAATTTGCCATCATCTCCCTGTGGAGTTATGTGTGTACATGAGTTGGGGGACAGAAGGGTGTGTTTGTGCACATGGTGCTTGTGTGTTTGTGTTTATGTGTTTGCATGAAATCTGTTTGTCTGCCTTTGTGTATATGCCTGCAAGTGCATGCGCAGTATGTAGCTGTGTGTATATGTGTGTGTGTGTGTGTGTGTTGTGTGAATAGTGGCAGACAGCGGAGGTGTTGTTTCTAGAAGAATTAGATAATCTCTCCTCTGAGAATCCATCTCAACCTTCATCAACCTTCTCTCTGCAACCAGCACAAACTGGGCAGCAGTCCAAGCCTACCTGTGATAATGATACAATAAACTTTATTTAATTAGTTTCTTTAAAGATGGACACAAAGAAAGTACAACTCTTACAGTAATAAAGCAAGACAATAAAACTACGTATAAAAGAATTTAGATCAATGTAATGAAACTAAGGCAGAGAAAAGTGATGTAATAAAAGAGAATAAATTGTAATAATAAAAACATTAAAAAAGATACCAAGTAAAAACATAAAGGGGTGACAAGTCAATAAAAATGGGTATTAAAAAGTGATTTAAAAACGTTATTCCAGCAAGAGGACTGCTCCCATTTGGGTTCCTAGCCTATTGCGTAGCTTGGAGCCAAATCTGAACATGATCAGTAATATCTTATGATCGATTTTAAATCAGTGAGCCGGTGAAGAGATGCTTGGATTTAGGTATGGTGATGTCATCTAATACATTTAGTAGGAAAGAAGGAAGCTGCTTGTTATATTGCAGTAAAAAGTCTTCAGGGGGAGGATGCTGATCCTGTCTTTTTCCAAATGTGCACATTGGTTTCATTTAAAGGTCCAATGTGTAACATTTAGGAGGCAGAAACAGATTATAATATTCATAGGTATGTTTTCATTAGTGTATAATCTCTTGAAAATAAGAATCATTGTGTCTCGTTACCTTAGAATGAGACATATTTATCTACAGAGAGAGCGGGTCTTCTTCTACGGAGGCCGCCATGTTTCTACGGTAGCTCAGAAGGCCAACGTAGTTTCTCTTACATGCTTAGAGGGCTGAGCAGTAGATACCACAGCATCTTACACACTGGTCCTTTAACCCGGAAGGTCATCTTTATCTAACCTTAACCATCAACCATAGCCTGTTTATTGAGAGAAATCCAACTTTTTCTCTCTCAATAACAATTTTGATACCTTAACTCAGGGTTTCTGCTGATATCAGGTACAGATCTTATACTAATGCTCTTTTTTGTTCATTTAAAATCTTTACTCCCCATTGTGTAGAACAGTTTGAAATCATTATTATGAGACCAGGGATTGATGTGGTACTAAAAACTAAGTGGCCACCCATCATGACTGAATGAATATAACTGACAGTGGAAACATTGATCTGAATACTGACAAATAAACTACATGTTATATAGATATGTACTATATACCAAACACTATATTGTCTGTTTTATTTGCCTATGAAAGTAAACCAGTTATATATTAATGGCTTCCAGCTTAGTATAACCAGTACTATCCCCAGTATATCTCAGAATTCATTTATGTTTGAGAACTGCATCATTATCAGTAGCAAGTCCACTGCTTTCAGAGAAGGTTGAATGGACGGTGAGGCAGGAAAGTAAAGGACAGAGAGAGAGAACAGTGGACACATTTGAAAACGGCTCATTCAGTCTCTGAGCCCCAGACTGCCATTAAAGCAAACAGAGCAGAATAAAAAGACAGAGCTGGATAATGGAGGTTAAAGAAAGTAGGGGTCAGTTAAGGACAGAAATATTTGGGAAAGAGTGATGAGAGAGAAAACGAACAGCATGTTCTTTCTCCAGCTGGTTTCTACTGAGTGCAGAGAGGAAACAATGTCTGTCACAACTGTTGGGGGCACTGGAGGGTGATTTTCAGTGAAGTAAAATAAGGATGGGCTAAGAGATTTTTTGCAGAGGTAAGACAATAGTTGAAGGATAAAGACAAAGTTGGAGGTGGATGAGGAAAGTGCCGGATAGATGAATTAAACTAAAAGCAGTAAGAATTTAGGAAGAAAATACAATAGAAACTTTGTGCAGGTAAGGTTAGGTAAGGTGAGGAATATGCTGAAGCCAGCTTTACATACAGATGAAGAGACACAGAGAAGCACACAGTCGCAGACAGAGGGCCGAGACAAGGGCGATCGAGTCCGTTTTTAAAGGGTGAGTGTTCGGCCTTTGGTGATTGCTCATTCACAATGAGTTTCATAAGATCCTAAAAGGCCAGTCACTGTCGTGGAGTGCTTATAGTGACCTTCACAAGGTCAGAAAGTTAGTTTTGATGATGAAGCATTGCTACTTACACACATTTCTCTCTTTCACTTTCACTCTTCCTGACTTCTGGCCATTTTGGATGAACTGAATGTGACTAATGCCTTCAAAGTGTGTCGTAATTGTTGTAAGGAGAGCACAAACTGCAAAACCACTCTGTCTGTAACACAGCTCTACCAGAAAAACACTCAGTCATTGCAAAGTTGCAGAAATATATGGTTGGCTACTCTTCAGGCCTTCTTTGTTTTTGTTTTTGGGGGCACAAAGGGTGCAGGAGAATTTGATTTCCATACATAGAACAGACGTAACGAGAAAAAACGTGTTCTCTCTCGCAACCCCAGAATCAGGGCCATGGTTGCCTCCCACATGCAACCCACACAGCCTTGAGCTGATTTTATGACTACACTGCATCCTCCCCTCCTCACTCCCTACATCAAAGTTAACATCGACAAGAGACTCTTCAAATTCACTTTATGATTTATGGATCCACTTTTGGCCTTTTAGGATGAGTAAGCAATGCTAACTTGCATTCTACCATCACTCATGAGCTTTCTGTCTGGGAATGAGTTGCTGCCCAGACAAGACTGCAGTGAGACCAACTTGCGAGCACTTTAATAAGACATACTTTATTTTGGGTTTATATGCTGTTACTAATGGCATGACCCATCATTAATGACTACAAAGTCTGCAGTTGTACATGTTAAAGGAATAGTACAGCATTTTGGAAAATAGTCAGTTCCTTTCTCAGAGTTATAGGAGTAGATGGATGCTGTACCACTCTTACTTTGTACACTAGAACCTGCAGGTGATTCACTTATTCTAGCTGGAAGTAGGTGGAAACAGCCAGTGTGTCCACAGTCCAGCACCTCTAAAGCTCTCTAAAGATCACATTGTATGTGGTGTGTTTATCCTGTACGCAATAAAAATTGTAAAAAAAAAAAAAACTAGTTACTAACTTTCTGGAGTTTCCTCCGGTTGTCTGGCAACTTTTACAGTGATGTCAAGACTCCAAAAAGTCTCTGGTTGCCAAGTAACAGCACAAACCTCAAACATTTCTGTGTGTGTGTGTGTGATAAGGAGTGTAAATTAAGGAGCTTTTGAGGTGCTTTGAAGAGGCTAGCAGTTTCCAGTCATTATGCTAAGATAAGCTAAGCTAAGCTAGTCACCTCCTAGCTCCAGCTCCATACTTGAAGGTGCGGTCAGTCACTCTTTAGAAAGACAGTTGAAGACAGTCTTATTCCCAGGTCATCAAATACTGATGCTTTTGGTTATGAAATATGGGAAATAACCATCACACAACATCGACTTTAACACAGACACATGAACATGGTCTTAATCTTCTCATCGATAATTCAGCAAGAAGAGATTAAACATTTTCCAAAAAGTTGCAGAATACCAGTAATCCAACTGTCCATTTGAATGGTCTTCCTGGCTGGTATTAACAAAGCCACTGGTTGCAACAAATACACTTTGTTATAAAATATTCCGTATTTGAAATAATACAAAAGATGATACTTTTGTATTCAGTGTTGAGTGCCTGTAGTTCAGCCCTCAGACAGATTTTATGGGGTAAATGTGTTTGTGTGCCAGAGTTGTTGTGCATTTCTTAATGAGGACAGGGACACTAAACTCTGCCGAGGACATAGTATATTTAGGGTGCTTTTGATAACCATGACATTGAACGGGGGCATTCAGGACAGCAGAGGACTTTTTAACCCAACAGCATTGCATGTGACGGTTATAGCTTTTGTGAAATCGCTTATGTTGGCATATCTACCAAGAAGACCCTCTGACTGCAGCACTGGCTTGTGTTTTTGTTCATTTTCAATGGCAATGATCCACTCTTGTGTGTCTCTACTGGGAGCTTAAACATAGTCTACAGAACTGAGTCAACAATGTAATATTTAAAATAACATTTTACGTGAGCCAAAAAGCATTTCCCGTTTGAATCTCAGCTGTTGAAGCCAAAGGCTGGTGGACTGAAGTGTCTGAGTGACATTGAGCTGGGGACATTCAGACTAATGGAGAGAAGAGGGGAGCTAAGCTTTGAGTGAACCATGTGAGTTGATGGCACTAAGCCTTGAGGTAAAAAAATAATATTGTTACATAACCTTACTGTTTCACTGTCCCCTGGGGTGAGATCTGTTCTCTTCTCCCTGAGTGTCACTCTAAGTGTGTGCGTATGTGTGTGTCTGTGTGTGTGTGTGTGTGGTGACTGAGGCCAAGACCCCAGAAGCAACATCAGGGCATGTTAGAGTTCATCAACATGAGTGTAAAGGGGATTTAAGTACGCACACGTACACATAATGTGTTGACCCTCAATGTGCCCTTTTTCTGTCCTATGTATCATAAAATGTGAGTCAGTCCAAATAATCTGAATCATCTCACCTAAAGTCTTTGTGAAGGTTGTAACTTGTTTAACGACATTAAAAAAAGACATCCACTCTCTTTCATTATAGCGATAAAAAAAATAAGCTGTAGTCTAATTGAAGCTGTAGGTATTACAGCTTTGTCAGCCAGCCAATAGTCTGATCAAGGTTAACTGTGACACAATTCAGACAGAAAAGAAAGAAAGATGTCCCACAGTCACACTGACTGCTGCGGTCCATGTGTCTCTATATTCTGACCAGTAGTTGTCCTAAACACAGAAATCTCTATTTTTAAATACTTTATTTCTTTCCATGTGGCATTGTTTTGATGCTTTAAAATAGTTGGACCACAGGAGGACATTAGGACCCATAGATAGTTACTGTTCTCCAAGCATGTCATAAGATATGTGCTTTAGTCTTCAAGTTTGAGCCTCTGAGCTCAGGGAGGCGCTATAGAGTCCCTCTGGTAAAAAAAAATGTAGTTAAAAAGTCCTTTATCCCATCTCTACATAGTGACTGTGAGATTTAAGCCACAGATATTCTAATGTGTAATGTGGCCTTGTCTATGTGTTTGCTTTGCTTGTCTGTTTTTTTATGATGTTGTAACATTATGGAAAAACATAAAAACTCAAATGACGAACAAAACATTTCCTAACAGATTTTTGTACAGGTTGAGTCAAACAATTTTCCAACGTGCGTACAAGTTACAAAAGAAGCATGACAATCTAACAGGCTATTGTTGCAGGCTGCTCCCCCAACGTTCAGTCAAACTGTTTTTGGCCTGCAGGCTTCCTGACTCTGTAGTACCATTTCCAAGGTATACTTGTTCATCAGTGTTTGGATGTGAGTGTTATGATACTTTCCCTTGTAAGAACTTAAACTCCAACAGGTAAGGCAAATTCATTTTATATATAAGCCCAAATCAAAGGACCTGAACACTTAACGATACACAGTGTAGTATAAAGTGTTTACGAAGTGTATTTTAAGTCGAATCACTACTGTGTTATCAATTGGTGATTAAGAGATGACTGAGGAAATTTGTTGTATGTGTCAAATGTGACATCCATACAGAAAATATAAAGAATTTTTGTCTATATTTAAACTAGAGTTAATATATAAATGGTTACCCAAAAATACCCAAGCACAGGACCTTTGGTAATATATCATCAGGAACACATGTTTATATATAACGCAATACTCAATATTCAATACTCTACCGTATATACAGTACAGCTAAATAAATCAATCAATAAGTAGAGTCCCTAAAGATTAAATAACAGGCAAGATAAAGAAAAATGTTCCATACCTCGTCTGTTATCTGTCCCCCAAATGTCACCCATGTACCTGGAGGGAAGAGAGAGACATTTCAACATTAGAAAACATGTCAGTCCTTTCTGTCGACTGTGTGTGTGTGTGTGTTTGACATTCTGGAGTAAACACTACTAATACCCTGGCTGTGACACCACTCGAGGACGGCTGTCAAGTTCCCAAGAGAGAAATCTGTCCTGTTCAGAGCTGCAGCTCAGTGCTGAAGGATCACCTTATGTGAGCGCCTGTTAGCACTTTCTGTCTTCACTGGTGACTGTTTGTGTTTGTTACTGTCATGCATATTTGGAAGACCTTGTGTCCCCTATCCTTATGTGATTATGTGTGTGTGTATTGAGTGCATGTGTGTACATCTGACTATCCTGAGTGCCCTGCAAACAATGCTGATAAGCCAGACAAAAAGGCTAAACCACGCCAACCTGAGGAGACACAACACATTTCTTCACTGAATTATTCATGTAGATTTGTTGTGGCAGAAAACGCTTCACATTCAGATTATTAGCTATCTAAAACTGTCCCGCTCTGCCAGACAGACGGAGAGAGAGAGGGAGGAACACCTTTATATATCACAAAAATGTCTAGCGCTTATTTGTGTTCTGGGAGTTGCAAGAAAATCTGGGCTGCCTGACAAGATACAAGGCAGTCTGTGTTGCAGTGCGCTTTAAATTTGGCAGGGGAGGACGAAGGACATTGTTTGCACTGATTTTATGAATTGTTCATGTTTACCTATAGTACACTAGAGTAGGACCAGTATGTAGGATTCAGTGGTAAGGAGCGGTGGAGTTGCAGATTGCAACCATTTGAATACAGCTCAGCCGTCCAAGTGTGTTGGAGAAATTACAGTGGCTGCAAAAAAAATTTAAAGCCAGTGTTTGGTTTGTCCATTTTGGGCTACTGTTGAAAGATGGTAGTTCAACGTGGTGGACTCGGACTAGACATGAATGATCTCTGAATATTATATTACATTGCTGACAATAGATCTTGTGCTGGGTTTCCATTAATTCCTGATGAAGGACACAAAATCAGAAGCTCCATTGAAACATCTCCTGTTGCCAAGTCGTATCTATATCATCCTATTTACTGGAGTAGTGAACAACGTTTCTATTGCATTAGAACCTTATGGGATGGTAATGATTATTCCAGGCATTAGGAAGGACCTCAGGTGTTAGAGAAACAGAGTTATGGATTGTAATAAAGTTTTGATTTTGATTGAAAAACGCATGAAAATATTAAATAATTATCTTTTTTTTTCTTTGGTAATTGACTATGGTATAAGCAGGAAAACACATTTTAAGGCTGGATGGTTCTGGCGTCCACGTTGTCCTGCGAGCTAGTTCAGGTACTCAGCTACAGCTGTGCTATACACAAGACATGCCTCACTCTCCAATGCAGTGGAGGTGCATGTATCTTGTTTTCTTTTGCCCTAGCCAATCAGTAGTGAGTGATACTGATCAAAGAAATATTTTAATATGATAATTTTCTTTCTCACTACTTTGTAGCTAGGTAGCTAGCTAGCACCATTTGCGACCTGAGCACACAGTATGTTACTCTGTGATTTAGTCACATTCCCTATAAATGCCAAATGGAAAGTTTTTTGACTGATGTAAAACCAACGTCTGAATCCAATATTTCCTGCCTGTACAATGACTTAATGTATTGTCTAGCAAAAAAGAAAAGCAGGTGTGTTGTGGCGTGGCATGGCATGGCATGGTGTGATTTGTGGCAAATATTTGTCTTTCCAGGCAGAAAGCAGACAGCTGAGATCACAGAAATAGCTTTTGAGAAGCTTTTAACTTTTCCTTTAAAGACTGTAGAGGTCAAAGTTGGGGCTAAGTAGCTTGTAAACTTCGTAGGAAGATGATGATTATTATTAATCCCACTTACAAAACTCTAATTGGCTAATTATTCCTCTAACCAGGGGAAAAAGCTTTCACTGGGCACAACACAATTGTGATCATATGTTGATTTCAATTGGCTTACCAAAACATATGACATCACTTCTTTCTCGCTGAGCCCTGCCCATTAGAGCAAAGACAAGAAAATGCAGAAACATCTCAGTTGAAACAACCAAAACAGCTTTGGCAGAAAATGTTATGTATGTGTGTAACTGATTGCCTTAAACCATTTAAGTTTATTAACTCAAACTATTTAAGCATCAGAGATATTTGATTTGAGTAGAAGTAACTGTAGTATTTATTGTTAAGGTACTTTGG